TTGCTTATCATCCCCTGCTCTCTCAATTATTGACCCCTTTTTTTGGGTTGTTTTCTTTTAAAAAAAAAAAATCACTTTAAACCCACAATAATGTTGCAAAACAAAGGGCTTTCAAAGATTCTGTGTATTGTCTTACTTCATTGGCTACATAGATCAAAAATGTAATTTTTTGGCTCTTGTATTACTGAATAAAATACTAAAACTCTCACATTTTCTCATATTATTTTTTTGGTTATTTTTCTTTTTCTTGTACTTTGTCCAGGATATGGCTCTAGTGGATCAGTGAATATGCAGCAAGGGGTTATTTTTACACCATCACAGTGGATGGAGCTTGAGCATCAAACCTTGATCTACAAATACATTACTGCAAATGTGCCTATACCTTCTTATCTTCTCAAACCCATACGCAAAGCTTTCGAGTCCGTCGGCTTTCTGGGCTTTCCGGGCTTCAGATCGGGTGTCTGTGAGTACTCATCTTCTACTATTCAACTCCTTTTTTCACAACAAATATTCTTTTCATTAACACATTTGCTTCTTTTGTGAATAGTTCAGATGTTGAAAATTGAAATATATGTTCTCTTTTTTGGTCTATTGAATTCCAAGTTCATGAAGTCCAACATTGTGAAATCACTGTCCATTTAGTTGATTTGTAAATTGTTTCAGCTGTATGGCTTCTTATTTTTATTTATTGCAAGCTGCCCCTAGAAGTTCAGGCTGACGACAAAATAGCCAATGAGTTCTCTGAAATTACAAGCATACCTTCAAGCATGATTTTTCTCTTGCATTGCCCCCCTAATATCAGGAACTAGTTCAAAGATCCACCTGACATTTTATAGAAATTTTATCTTCCCACCACTCCTTGTATTGCAGGACAAAATCAACCTTGAAGGCTGGTTCTGTAATTTCAAAAAATAAATCCAGAGCTCTTGGTTTTTTTGCTTCTCTAATGGCAATTCAGTCAAAATGATAGGGGAGTTCAACTTAAGATCTACAAAATGATACTTACTCTTACCTTGGTGTTTGAAAAATTGGAAACAAATATCCCCTCCCACTCCCTATGTATGTAACCCAGGACTGATTATTAAGTTTTGCAACAATTATTTTCATTTAATTAATTTCCATTTTGAACATTTATTTATATATTGTATATACAGTGGGATGGGGTGGTTTAGACCCGGAGCCCGGTCGATGCCGGAGGACAGACGGGAAGAAATGGCGGTGCTCAAAGGAAGTTGTTGCCGACCAAAAGTATTGCGAACGCCACATCAACAGAGGCCGCCATCGTTCAAGAAAGCCTGTGGAAGGCCAATCGGCCCCCTATTCCACCACCACAAATACCAATAACAATAATCATCATCCATCCCGAATACCCGATAATATGAACCGGTGAGTATGAGTTTCCTAGGAAAAATTGTAATTTTAGTTCTGTTGGTTTAACGATATAGCAATTTTAGTCCCACGGTTCTGACTTTTTTGCCTTTTGGTCCTGTGATTTAATATTTTGCTTGACGACTGAAATCGCAAGAGATTTTAAATTACAGGACTAGAAGCGCAACAAATTTTTAAATTACAGGACTTAAATTGTTAATCGAAAATCTGGAAATTTGTTGCAATTTCAGTCCTTCAGCAAAATATTAAATCACAGGACCGAAAGGTGAAATGTTGGAACAATTTGGAATTAAAATTGCTATGGGGTTAAACCAGCAGCAAGACTAAAAATGCAATTTTGCCGAGCTTCCTAACAATTTTTTTTTTATATTTAATTTAAAAAATTCTCTTCTCCAAAGGAAGAAAAAAAAATGAATATCTTTACATCAATGCTCGTCTAGTTTCAAGTGTGACAGAACAAATGAATGTCATATACTCATATATTCGTGTATGATGATATTGGTTTAGTAGTTTCACTTGTCGTAAATTTTCCTATGTTACCATATCCACCGTGTCTTGCAGAGGTACCACACAAAATAAAGATGAGCCATTGTACCAAAAAAACGACACACACAAGTCGAAAGAAGATGAATTCGGATTAGTCTGCTCCGACTCTCTACTAAACCCCCTCAACCAAACCTCATCCCTCCTCAACCTCAAAACCTTATACAATAATAATAATAGCAATCTGGAAGGCGAGATGGGCCTGGGCCTGAGTGTGGGCCCAGCCATGGGGGGCCCACTTGGGGAGGCCCTGTGGGACGGCAGCAGCCCACGGGCCTCACCAACAGGGGTCCTCCAGAGGGGCGCATTCGGGTCCCTTTCCAATAGCCCTCGGGCTGGGCCCGGCAGCGGGATTTTTGGGCCGGGCCTAGCGGGCCCTTTGCTGCCCACTATCTAGTGGGCTTCATTATAGTGTACTTGGGATTTTTAACACTATTGCCTCATTTGTATGTTTGGAATTTGGATCAATGTTTGCTACTTTTCGTTATTAGTTGGAATATCGTAAACTTTATGTGTGTGTAACCTTTTTTATTTTTCTTAATTTTCGGTGTACCATTTGTTTGATTGATCTGAAAGTCTGGTGAGAGTGTCTTTAGGTTGGTTGGAAGGGAGCATGCTCGTGGTTGGGGATGTTGTAGTATTGATACTTGTACGGCATTTTGGTAAAAGCTTGAATAATGAGCATAAAGAATAAGACAGGATAATATTTTTGACAAAAATAGTGCCGAGGCATGCATAATTGATAATTAATGAACTTCAAGATTTCATAATTTATTCCCGGTTTNTAGGTACATAATATTGTACATAGGAGTGTACATAACACTCACATTGTGTGGGATTCACCAAAAATAAAAAATCAAGTGAACTCTACTCCATTTGACTGTTATGTACACGTTTATGTACATTTATTATTTACTTGTAGCATTTTTCAAAAAAAAAAAAAATATTTTTAACGGATCTTCTGTAACGCCCCATTTTGATTTTAAAGCAATTCTGAACTTTCAGAAAAATCAGCATAAAATTTTCAAAACTCATTTCAAAAACATATATGGCGTTATTCATTTTATTCAAATCCTCTTCATGTCATAACATCAATGTTATACTATAATTCATCAAACATGAAACTCTACTCCCATAAGGGTTCATAAAAACATAAGTCATCAATTCACCCGAATCGGTTTCTCAAAATAAAACACAAGTTTGGAAGATATAACAACGTCAACAGGGCATCTCCCCAATAGTGTCTTAACACCTCATAAAAATCTCAGAGTTCGAAATTCATCAATAATCATAAATATAGCGGAAGCAACTCAAGTAAGGGTCTAGTCATCTAGACCGACCACCACTCGCCTCACCTTGCCGTGCCCGTAACCAGCTTAACCTGAAATAGAAACCGTAGTGTTCACCACTATGCAATAAACGATATTCATAATGTAAACAGTAAAAAGAAACAGTATAATCGCAGCATGTATAAGAATCAATCAAGTATCCCAAATTTCATCATAGTGTTCAGACTCATGTGCACATCTATACCAATAGACTACTGTAGGTAGATGTATTGAATGTCCCTCGGACTTCTATCGAATGCCCCATGGGCTTTACATCTATGCCCCTCGGGCTTCTATCGATGCCCAGTCAGTAGGAGTAACCCCTAGGGTTTTCATTTCATAATTACGGGGACAACCGTTCGACGGCCGGTACAGCTCACATCGAAGGTTACATGATTCGTAGGCACACATCGATCATACACAAGTAAGGCACAATATTTATTGCATAGCAATTTCAAATAGAACCCACCAGGTCGAAAGTAAGAGATAACACAAATGCACGTGTAGGCGGCGAGCTCGGCTCGTCAAGCACCTACATATATTAAAGTAATCCTATAAATGACTATTCCACATATTGATACACTCATATCAACATTCATTTGATTAGACTCGACTCATATAGTTCACAAAAGCAAGCAATAAAAAGATAAACTTTATTTTCGAAAACACCACATAAATTTTCAAAACATAATCCACGCAGCAATTTTGAAATCGACACCAAATGCGGCACATAATTCATATTAACCCGAATCCAATTGCATATGAATCCTGAGACATGCCTCTACAATTCTTATGAAGACATCAGAAACAAATAATGGCATTTAGTAGGTCATAAATCATCAAACATATGAAACACACTTGCTGTTAAAAACCTGAAAACAAATGACTGATAAGACCTCAGTATTTTCAAAATAAATGAAGCTACAGACAAGCTATCAAGGAAATTCAAAAACCAAAATGTAGCTAACTCAAATATCTACAACTTTGCTGAAGACCACATTGGCAAATAATGATTCTTTATCTGGGTTTAAACATAAAACATTCGGGTCATGAAATCTATCAGAAATAATTTTGGTTTACAAACAGCACCTCTGTTTTTATCTGCTAAATTATGCAACAAACCTCCAAATGACTTGATTCAAAAACCTATGGAAAACCAAGAAATAAGACTACAATTTTTATAAAAGACCACTTTCACATTTGAGCATGTTAGAATATCAATTGCAGACCAAACATTAACATCATGTGCACAGCTCGGTTTCCAGACAAACTGCTTGCACAACATTTTTGTAAAATTCACATCTCATACTACACTTATCATATTGACATGATTCTCACCTTATTAGAAACCTAAGAGACAGCCCTACAACTTTCATTTAAAACACTGAAGCAAATAAGGTCATTAAGAAGGGGAAAAACCAATTAACATTAAGAACCACTTTTCTACCAAAAGTATAAACTCATCTCATGCATTTCCCACGTCAATTTAACACAAACCAAGCTACAGTCATCATATCAGCATAAATTTACCTCATCAGAAAGCTTAGAATTAGACCTATAACGTTCATGAAGATCACAAACTCATCCGAGCACATTAAGACGCAACAAACAGGTAAAACATTCAACATGAACTTGCTGCCGGGTTTTGTTAAAAACTGCTCGCGCAATATTTTATGTAAAAATCATAACTCTCTCATTTAAAATCAAATTTTCAAATTTACAAAACTCACAGAACCATAACAGAATGAACTATAACATATGAAGAACATAATTTCAGAAAACTAGTTTTTCATGCCCTTTCAGAGGCTCGTCAGAGGCTGTAAAATCATAATTCAATATGCAAAACTCGGTGCACATGTTCAATTCTTTCTCCATACATACACAACACATTAAAACTTAAATTTGCATACTAATACATGGATTTAACATCACGTTTCATGAACTACCAGCCTTCAATATGATATCCCAATTATTCACGGATCCACATCAAACACATATAAGATTCTTAATCAACTCATATAAAAGTTTATCATGCAATTTAACAATTATAGATACAAATACATAGAATAAAAGGGGTTCGAGCCTTCTTATACCATTCTCGGGTTATAGAAAAATGAGTCGGGAGAAGGTTGATGGGAGTCGACGGTTATACGCGTGGAGGACCAGCGACTGCAAGACGGCGGCTCGCGGAGGGAAGAACTCGCCAGACGTTGCCGGCCTGCTCGCGGTGGATAAGGGCGGCGACGTCGGAATTCGGGCCTGCTCGCGGTGGAAGGGACTCGCTGGTCGTCGGAAGCGGGGCCTGCGGGTCTGGTTCTCACGAGAGGAGGGATCACCGGCGGGGGTTGCAGCGAACAGGATGATCTCGAGCGATGGAGAGGAAGATGGTGGTGATCAGTTTTTAGTGAGGGAAGGAGAGCGATGAAGGTGACGAGAGAGGGATAGATTTCTCTCTTCTGCGCACGACGATAGCGAGAGAGAGATGATGAGGGAGAGCTGCGCGTAATATCGAAAGAGAGGAGAAAGAGCTGGATTTAACGAGGTTAGGGTATAAACCTTGCCCAACAAGAAAAGGAGGGAAGCAGGTCAGGTCGGCCGGTTCTATGCGGCAGGTCTTGGGCGCCGGGTTGGGCTGTCCACGGCACACTGCCGGTTTCTCGGGCTCGACACTTAACGAATATTCAAGGCTCGAAAAATAAGTACGATGACCCGAAAAATAAATAAATTAAACCGACATTATACATATATTGCACACAATATTTATTTAATATCAACAAGCAATTAAAACAATTTGGCAATTAATATCAATAATAATAATAATAATAATAATAATAATAATAATAATAATAATAATAATAATAATAATAAATAATAATAATAATAATAATAATAATAATAATAACAATAATAATAATAATAATAATAATAATAATAATAATAATAATTCCACAATTATCCAAAAATCCAAATAAACGAACGGGGCCTTACATCTTCTCTAGTATTTTAGGGTGTGTTTGTTAAACAATTTATTCAATCCAAATTAATTCATACTCAAAATCTAACTTCACCTTCACTCAACCTCACTATCCTCAATATTATCCATATAATTAAATAATAACAATCAATCATTTTTACACATCATATCAACTTTAAATCACTATTCATGCACTCACATAATTTAGCTAACCATCACTTCAAATCATATCTCTCTACTTTTATATTAAATCAATTTTAATTATTTTATTTTAAATATTTTAATATAAAAGCATAACCTGACTAACAAACACACTCTTAATTTAGGTTGCCTAGTATAAGCATGTGTATTTTAATAACTAGTGTGTCATTGGATATTAAGAATTTTTTTAGAAAAATAATGAATTGAGAAAAGTGCGATGTGAAAAGAATAAATTGTAGGAGTTGATAACATCATGAATTCAATAAACAATTATGCTAGATTTTAAGATTATGGATTCTTAAAAATAAGTTTTCTAAGTGGAACACGAGCTCCATGGATGAATTGCATCAACAGGTATTATAGTCTTTTCCCAATTAAATAGTCTTACTCCTATTATAGGATCACTGTTTTTTATTTTGATGGGGAAAAATTTGTATTTGAATTGGTGTATAAAGGACCATACCAATAAGGTGCATATATACAATTAAAGTAAGGCACCAATAATTACCTAGCCCTAATATTATTAGGTATTTGTTCAATTTTTTTTTTTTTTCAAATGATAATTATATGAAAAAGTGAGAAACTCAAAAAGAGTACACCTGAGGTGTCAACGGACACCACTAAAGACAGCACAAAGACTGGATCCACCCTCTTGAAATTACATAGTCGACCAAGGGGCCGCAATCACCCGCAAAACAAAAGAATTACTAAAAGGAGACATGACAACTCTATGAAGGAGACTAGATCCAGACGCTTGTAGACTTAAACTGAAAATTAGAAGAAGAAAATACAAACAAAACAACTACAACACACACGTAATAGAAACAATAAAGCCCTCCCCGGCCACCCTATAACTTCACCTACACTGCAACCACCCGAGTCAACAAATCGAAGATGGTCTACAAAGAAGAGCCCGACCTCAACCAAGAATACCAATCCGGAAACTCCACAGTCCAAAATGGCTATAGCTCACCAGATCTAAAACCCTCGACCCCGATTAAGCCTTCAAGGCAAACGACCACCTCCAAACAGCATCCAAAGGTCGAAACCCGCCATCCACCTGCCCCTAAACACAAGCAAAGTTAACCCACCCGCCGATGGCGCAACCCTTGTGGAGAAGCTAGCCCCTGAACATGAAAAGCGCAAATGGGGGGATACGAAGGCACTGACCTCGACATCGCACACGAAGGACAATTCCCATCGTCCACTTACCTTTGAACAAAAGCAGAAGTCGACCTGCTGAAGGAGGACCCCCTGTAAAGAGGGAGCCGACCATGACACAAGAAATTCATGGA